CGGGGCGTGCGCGGGGCCCTCCCGAGGCAAGCGGGCCACGTCCGCCCCTTGGCAGCCAAGCAGCCCCTAGAGAATCGCCCACCCAGCTGCGGTCACGGTGTCTCTGGTTAAGAAACCCTACTGTGATTTTGTGATTTTAAAAAAACGGTTGGGAGAAATTCGATTAGTAAGTTCAGCCCCAAGTTGTGAGTTGCCTGTAGTAACTTCAGGAGTGTGCGTCATGAGTTTGTTATTCTGTTACCGGGGGCCTGGAGGTTGGAAGTGTTTTATGAGATATCCCTTGGGGATAGAATACTTGCTGATTGTTCATGATGTGTTAAGTGGAAAAAGACAGTTCCAAAGTAATGAAAAGCAAAATCTTGTTTGTGCAGACAATATCTAATTACCTGGAAACAAGAGCAAAGGGGTGTAAATATTCAACCCATTTTACTTCCGGAGAAAAAATATATTTTTTAAATACTAATTTGTCCATCGCCGGTTACAGCCTGTGATAGGCCTCGGAGCCCATTTGATGACTGTGGAGCGGGTAACTGCCCGCTGGCTGCCCATGGTGCAGCTGGCCCCCAACCAGCATTTTCTAAAACACAGGCACAAGCAAGGGGGATGAACTATTGTCCCCTCCACCGAGGCCAGGCAGGACTTGAGCACTTGGTAAGGATTTTGAAAAGAGTAGTTGGCATCTCTTGCCAGTGTGGGGCCAGAACAAGAAAGAACCACAGCCTGGGACCTCCATGTGGCCTTGTTTTAGCCCTGGCCTCCTGAAGTACAGGGTGGAGGAGGGGCAGTGGTCAGAGTAACCAGAACTGAGAATGGCTTCATGGGCCAACTCCCTGCCTGGAAGTCCCCTCCCAGGGTAACCACCCACACCCCAAACAAAACCCTCTGTGACAACACACTCCACTCTTGGCAACCAAGATGAAACTGGGGCAGAATTTTTTCCCCTGCCTCTGGGAGATGGCATCTGTGGGTGGGGCTGGCCGAGCTGCCACACCCGGTTCTCAGAAAATAATGACTCTACCGACTCGTGACTCTCGGCACAGAAGGTCAAGCATGCGGCAAGCCCAGACTTGTTCTCCGAGGCTGCTTAACCGGGCTCTGCCAGGGGAAGATTCTGGCAGCTCTCCCTTCTCGGAGATGTCCTGGCAGCATTTCCATGGGTGGGCTGGGGACACTTGGTCTCAAAGAACAGTGTGCCAGGCGGGAGTTGCCTGTCAGAATGTTCTGGAACACCAGTAGGTGTGTATGATACCAAGCAAGTGTCTTCCCTGCTGTGTCACAGTACTAGGCCGTGGGGGTCAGTTCCTTATTTATCAACGAGGTGCCCGAGGGGCGGTAGTCACCAGCCGTGGCTGCTTCCTGGGCCCAGCTTGATGTCTCAGCTTGCTTTTTTCCACTTCAGGTCTAAAAATTTCCCTCATTCGCAGAGAACCTTCTCAAATCCCAGAAACAACTACCTTAGGTTTTATTTTTCAAAGAGTAGGAGGAGGTGGAGTTAGCAACACACAAAGCATTAGAATTCTATAAAGTTGATGATTCTTCATCTCAAAAGAAACTAAGGCTGGCCTTTGTGCCCTGTGTCCAGAGCTGCCCTGGCCACCCACCCCATTTTCAAGGACAAGACGGCACAGTTGCAGAGCGTCCTTGTTTAGAAGTTCTCCCGTCCTCCGAATTTCCCACAAGCAGTTTTCTTTGGGAAAGGATCTCCTCTGAGATGAAGATGGAAAACCACATAGGAACATCTCTGTCCTGCCTTGGGGGGTGGAGGTCAAGGCAGTGCTCACAGTATGATGGACAAACATTGGGTTTGGGCTCTGCTGCTTTCTCTACAAAGAAGGCTAAAAATCCCTCCATCCTGACTGGGCGTCAGTGTGTCAGCAGATTTCTCTAGATCAGAACAAGCTGTTCCAGCAAACAGCAGTAAACAGGACTTGGGGCCCTGGGTGGGGCTGGGTGGAGATGGGCCTGCCCTACCCGGGTGGGGGCAGGGTGGGGGGGCAGGAAGCCTGCTCCTTTCTGGGTGGCCCACACAGGGGCTCAGGGTTGGAGGGAAAAAAGACAAGAAAGGTTCCCCATTGAGCAACATCCGGATTTCAGGCCAGGGCCCGGGCAAAAAATTTCTCACAGACATGGCTGCCTCCCACCTAGTTCTGAAGTCAGCTGAGCTCTTGTTTTCAAACACATGCCAGCCCAGGTGAGGATCCAGGCCATTTCCTACAGGAGCCCCTGTAGGAAAGGAGAGAACGAGAGTGGAAAGGGGTGCTGCTTCAGGTTCACACCAAGGGCAGGACAAGGATGGTATTGCTGCCACCATTTGAGAATGTGCCACCCCTGTCTCTCATGGGTCCAGTTCCAGAGCTGTGGCCTCAGTCACCCTGGGCTCTCTACTCTCAGGAGACCCTCCACTGGGGCCATCTCCTCTGAGCCGTGAGGCCCCTGGTCTCAGGGCTCGGGGAGGAAAGTGCACAGTCACTGCGTGCTGGCGGGGCGCCCTTCCTGCCTGCTTGCCTCACAGCAGCCTGGCTCCCACCCAGCCCCCACCCCGACAGGAAGCCAGGCCGCAGCCTGGGCTCCAGCCTGTCGGCCCCCACCTCACAGCAGCATGACCCTGGGCGCCCCCTTAACCTCTCCCAGCCCCGCTTTCCTTCCTCGCTTCCCACTCTATGATTCTGACCCGTACTGTTCTGCCTGGAAGGCTCTTCACCCATGGCCCCTGGCCCAGCCCTCCCTCAGCTCCTTCAGGCCTCTGCCCAGAGGTCACCTTCTCAGTCAGCCCCTCACCCCACTGGGACTTGGGCTCCTTTGGGGAGGGGCTTCCATCGGTTTTGTCCTCCACCGGAGGACAGCCCCTGGCGTGTTCCAGGCACAAAGTGGATCTCGGTAAATGTGTTGGCCAAACAGTCTATGTTTTGTAAAGACTTTCCACCATGAGGCTCTCAGTAACTATTTATGACATTCAGGGACTGACTGCAGGAAGGACATGAGTTCTCAAGTCAGCAGTCACCCCACAAACTTCATAATGGGCACAGACCTGAGGGCCTATCCTATCCCCACCCCAGACATTCCCCGCTCCCAGGTCAGGAGACAAGAAAAAAAGGGGGTGGGGGCTGCTCACGGGGAATGTCTGGGGTGGGGAAGGGAACCAAAGCTGGCAGAAGGCATTTGAGGGAGAGGGTGTCAGGGATGGACAAGCCCCAGAACCTGGTTTATTAGGAGAGGAATAGGTGGGCCCACCTGCATTTCACGCTCCCATTTTCTTGGCCCACGTGGGCCAAAAAGAGGGAGCGAGGAGCTGGGAGGGGATCCATCTCACACATTTGACTTGCTCACCTATGGGCTCTGGGTCCCTGATGCCCTTTCCTGGCCACTGCGGGGGGGCAGATCCAATTGGGGTCCTCCCCCATTCTAAGGCCACGCTTCCACAAAATAATTCGGACGGCGTCAGTCCCCTGCATCTGAAACTCTAGGACTCCCTGCCACATACATACAGTAACTCCTGGGCATCAGCCCTCAGTGCTCCAGACCTTCTGACCCACCTCTTCCCGCTTCCCTGAGCCCTGCCCAAGCTGGCCTGTCTAGATCCCACCCTGCTCTTCTCTGGCCAACTCCTTCACTGGTTCACAGTCACCTCCCTATGTCCTGAAGCCCCTGCTCCTAAGTGCTCACCAAAGCCACTTGTCCTCTCCCCACGCTGAGCACCTGTGTCCCTGCTCCCCCGCCCACAGCAGAGGGCAGGCCCGTGGAAAGAGGGAGCTGATTCCCCAAGCCTGGGCTTCATGGACCACTGCTGTGCCCCTCCAGTGGTCCCCAGGCCTCCTCAGCACTCATGTGACTGACTAAGTAAGTCCCAGCTTTCACAGACCCCACCCTTTCAACTGTTCCTACTTTGTCAGCCTCTCCCCAAGCCCCACCCACCAGGAATCCTGGAGACAGCGCTTTGGGCCAGGAGCTAGGCCAATCTGACACCAGCCATCTTCCACCCCTAGGTTTGCACAGCATCCAAGAAACCCTCTGCCTTCCCCAGGGCCCACCTGCAGCCCCTACTGCTGGAGCTTCCCACTTCTGCTAGGTCCCTGCCCCTGGTCGGTCCTCAGGCCTGAGCTTTGTCCTCTAGTGACCTTGCTAGAGCACTGGTGGCTCAGACTGTACCAAAACCTCCAAAGGAGGTTTTTCTGCCCTGATCCCCCTTGGCCTGCCCGAGTGGCATCCATGAATGACGTATGTGTGGCGCCAGGGTTTCTACGGGCAGAGCAGAAACCCTCTGAGTGGTTCCTTTGGCCCCTGGAGGCTACTGACCTTGATGCTGTGAGGGAGGCCTGTGCTCTCACTGGCCCAGAGTGTCAGTGGTCCCTACCACCCCTTCACCAAATGCCAAGGTCGAATGACCACAGGACACAGTTTTAGGGAGGAGCTGGGACTATTATTCTCCCTCTTGCAAGTTACACTTAGAATAAGTAGTTTAAAATAGATGGAGGGCTCAGTATGGGTGGGGGAGGGAGGTGCTGAGGGCCCAGGACAGATGAGAAAGGAGAGGGACCTGGGACAGTCAGCTCCTGTGGGCACAGAAGGAAGCAGGAGGGAGATGACCAGTCCCAGGGTGTGCCTACCCACCTCCTGGATTCCCCCAAATAACCCTAGTTTTAAATATTTTGATTCAATGGAATTTAACAGGAAAACAAAAAATTCCAAAGCAGAATTTGTTTTCAGGACATGGATCATGATCTTTGGAAAATGTGGATCTGATCACCAAATGGGGAACCTAGGGGAAGCCCCTGTGTGTTGCTACAGATTCGAGGTACCGAGATAAGGGATAGGAGGCTCGGGGAGCTGGAAGAAAATGCGGGAGCCGTAGGCAACTGCGACCTAGCTCTTTATTTCAGCAAGGGCACAGCCAGCGTATTTATATACACAGGTCAACAATGGTGGCACACTGCCAGATAACAGAGGTCCCCGCAGGCCCCGGCAGTTTGACACATGGTTTCATAAGGGGAGAAATGCTGATTCTTTTCCACCCGGAAGCTGCTACCGGTGCGCGCGCGCGCGGAAACTGACTACAGCCATTTTTCTCTCTCGTCGCACCCTGTATCTGGTACTCTGAGAGGTCTGGGGCGCCCCGCATCAGGAACGGAAGGAAGGTGACGGAGCTCAGAAGTCAGGGCGCCCTCTCTGCGGGGGGGTGGCCATGCAGCGCCAGACCAAGGCCTGCCGCGTTCAGCCGGGTTTCCGGCTGCGCACATCCGGCAGGGCGGTGCCAGGTCGCCGTCTCTGCGGCGGAACTGGAGGAAAGGGCGGGCTCAGCTGCCCCCTGCCGGCCACAGCTGGACCAGCAACCTGCGGGCAGGGGCAGTAGCCGACTCCGCTCCCCCTTTCCCCTTGGCCCGCATTCTCAGCCGGGTGGGGCAGAAAAAGCAGCCGACCGTGGGGCACCAGGCTTGCTGCTTAAAACTGAAGTCCTGGCCCTGGCCCGGTGCCCGCCACCCGATCTGGGTGACGCTGGGTAGCCTGCCTGCTTCCTCTGAAAGGTGGAGCTGATTTGGACAGGAAGAAGGTGACTGGTGGCTCCCAGATTAAGTGGTGGAATGACCCAGAAATGCCTCCTCTTGTCTGGGACCCTTCAGAGCCAGGTGCTGGCTGAGCCAGGCCATGTGTGCCAGGCTGGTGGAGGCAACCATTATTGTTTCTCCATGAAACCCAAGGGGATTTTAAAATAACTACTGATGCATTAAAAAAGCCCAAAGACGACCAATAAGCCATGAGAGGGGTGTTATGGTTTGAATTGTGTCCCCCCAAATAAACGTGTTGAAGCCTTAACCCTCAGTGCCTCGGAATGTGATCTAGCTATAAACAGGGTCTTTGCAGGTGTAATTAGGATGAAGTAGAGTAGGGTGGGCCTCTATTCAGTATGACTGGGGTCCTTATGAGAACACACAGAGAGAATGAAGGTAGAGATTGGGTTTATGCAGCTGCAAGCCAAGGAATGCTACAGACTGCCTGCAAAACACCAGAAGCTGGAAAAGGCAAGGAAGGGCTCCCCAGAGCCTTTCAGAGGTACCGCGATAAGGATTGTCCCCACTTCACTGATGAAGAAGCTGGGCCTCAGAGAGCTGACTTCTGACCCCACCATGGCAGGGTCTCCTGACCCTGCAGACACCACCCCTCCTCTGCCAATAGGTGCCATCATTTACAGATGTGCGCACAACACTGTCCTCTGCCCTTGAGGGTGGGAAGAAAGTATTAGATAGGTACCAGACCTCCCCCAACAACCTTAAGTAGGTATTATTACCATCTCCATTTTAGAGATTAGGAAATCGAGTCCCAGGGTCTCGGCTCTCCCAAGAGAGTGGTCTGTTCCCAGGTGGGGGTAATGCAGGCTGGGGCTGTGTTGGGAGGCCAAGGTGGGGAGGGTGGTTGAAGAGTCCAGAGCAAAGGCCCCAAGGCAGGAGTTTGGAAGGGCAGGGCAGAGCGCTTCACCCACCAGGAAGTCGACTCCCAGGGGATCTTTCAGCAGCACCTTGAGTAGAGCTGGGCTCCCCACAGGGGGGTCTGGTTCCCCACAGCAGCATCTGACATGCAGATCTGGGCTCCCTCCCCTGTCCCCTTTGGCCATTTCAAGGTGCCTGGAATTGGGATCATAGGCTCCAGGCCTGCTGAGAACCGAGATCTCCCCCAGCATCCAGCTTGTCTTCCCTGCATCTGAGAGAGCCCTCGACAGGTTTTTCTAGGAGTCAGCTGTCTCCTCTCCCCAGCTGCACCTGGAGCACATGGCCACGACCAGCACGCAGGCCCAGCAGTGAAGGCTGAATTGAGCCTAGAACAGGAAAGGAAGGCGGGGGAGGGAGGAGGAGGACACAGTCTGGGTGGGTGGTGTCCTCCCCTCTCCCCCTGCGGTGCTGGTAAGAACACAAAGGCCCTTCTGTGGAGCAGAGCCTTCTGAAGACTGAAATGGTGTACATGTGTGTGGCTGGGAGACGCGTTTTGAATTTATGCCCATGACACAACTGGGTAGCGGCGGAGACTGGGCAGTGGCCTGAGTGAGCCGCAGAAAGGGCCCACCCAGAGCAGAAGCTCCTCTGCGGTGCTGGGAGGGGTCCGGTCCCCTGGTCAGCTTGAGCTTCACTCAAACAGGCAACCCCTTTTGCTCACCTGGCCACCAGCACGGGAAGTGTGATGACGCCTGGTCAGAGATGAGAAGAGAGGAGGCAAATGTCACCGGCCCGGAGCACAGAGCAGGGGAGGCGGGTTGTGGTAGACAGAATAAGCCCCTCAAGATGCCTGTGCCCTAATTCCCAGAGCACTGTGAATGTCAGGGTATGTGGCAAAGGGGAACTGAAAGTAGCTCATCCGCTGACTTCACAGGGAAGTGATCGGGAGTATCCACCTTGGCCCCGTGTAGTCACACAAGGGCCCTTCGGCACAAGAGTCAGAGAGAGACGTGAGCTGGGCAGGTCAGAGTGGCTGCTATGAGGACACCACGTGCCTTCGCTGGCTTTGAAGATGGAGGAAGGGCCACAAGCTGAGGAACACAGATGGCCTCCAGAAGCTGGAAAAGGAGAGAAAACAGATTGTCTCCTAGAGCATGGAATGCAGCCCCGCCAACACCTTGATCTTGGCCCAGTGAGGCTCATTTCAGATGTCTGACCTCCAGATCTGAGATGATGAACGTGTGCTGTTCTAAGCCTCTGAGGTTGTGCTGGTTTGTTACAGCAGCCGCAGGAAACTAACAGGTGGTGAGGCCCGACGGGTGGAGGCCAGGTTCCAGGCCCGCCAGGCCCCAGACAGGAAACTAACAGGTGGTGAGGCCTGACAGGGCCTGGGTGGAGGCCAGGTTCCAGGCCCGCCAGGCCCCAGGCTGGTGATGCTTCCTTACTCACCAGAGTGGGAGCGTCTGCGCCATCGCAGGCCCTGGCCTCTCAGAGAGAGCCCATTCTCCCTCCCAGCTTTCAGGACATGAGACTTTGGGATGATGAAAATAGCTAATGCCTATTGAGTACCTAGACGACAACGGATCCTAAAGCACCCAACATCCCTAGGAGGTAGGTGCTATTATTATTCCCATCTTAACGGTCAAGAAGTGGAAGCTCAAGGTCAGTGCCTCGTGTAAGTGCCCATGATCATGGCATCACACTGTCTTCATCAAGTGGAGGACCCTACAGAAGACAAGGCACCATTCAGTCATGGATGCCCGAGGGGAGAGGCCCTAGTCCCGGGACCTTGGCTGCTGTGGGACGCTTGGCTTGCTCCTTCCAGCTCCTGAAACGTTCAGTGTGAATCCCAACCCCAAATACCCGCAGTTATCACTGCTGCACAGCTTCCTGCGGGGCCCAGAGTGCTCTGGAGGGCTGGCCGGATGTTGCCCTCCCTGCAGACGGGATCTGTGGGAAACAAGTTGCCACTTGGCAGGGCCCAGGGCACGACCAGCCCTGAAGGCGGGCACGAGAATTATCCCAAACTCCTGGATTCTGTGGTCTCTGCCCTGAGGCAGTGCCCTGGGCCCCATCCCCCAGTTGTGTGCAGGGACCTGGTGGCACATGGTGGTGTGGCTTAGGATCACAGGACAGGGACAAAGGCTCTAGCACGCCTGCTGTCTGAACCTTGTTCCCCTGCCTCCCTGCAGAACTCCTACCTGGGTTCCCACCATGAACCTCCAAACCCCTCCTGGACCTTCTTACCCCAACCAACCACTAAGACTGGAAAACTTCCCGCTGGGTTCTCCATCCGCTTTCGGCTCGAGCCCCGAGGGCTGCATCCCTTGATGCATAGTTATTAAAAAAGGCAACATGCAGCCCGCAATCAACTTCCAGGCTATAATGAACATTTTCATTATTTCATATCATAAACCACCCTGAAGACTGCTGGAAACTGATTTTATTACTAATCAGTCACATGGTACAAAAGAAAGAATATTCAAAGGACATTTAGTAAAATGCTGCTTTGTCCCAAAGGGCAGGCGGAAAAGGTTAAGGCACAATGGATGCTTAGAAAACAGAGGAGAAAGACTGAAGAGTAAAAACAAGTAATTTGTGTATATCCACCACCCACCACAACCCCATCGGCCCATCAGATAAGAATCCACCTGGCATCCAAACAGTGAGTGGGACGAGAGAACCAGAGAGCCGGGAGCCAGACAGGCTGGGCGGCCAGTGACATCAACTCCAGGGAGGGAGATAAAATGTCCTCTGCTGGGACATTCCAAACGGCTGGGGACACCCATTTATTACGGCAAATAACAAAAGTCTCTGCTGCCAGAGGCAAGCCCAGCTAAAACATCTGGAGCGCTTGAACATCAACAAAGGGAACAAACAGGTGAGCAGGCTCTAGCACCTGGAGACTAGAGGTTCACATTTCCTCTCCCAGTCCCCACCAGGAAGGGGAGACAAAGCAAGCCCTGTGCTGAGCAGAGCCCGCCTCTTTCCTGTGGAAAGTCCCAGGAAGCTCTGAGAACTACAGCCCCGCCAGAGGAGACAGGGCTGGGAAGGGCTTCCTCCTGGGCCGGCTATGCCCAGCGCCCACCCGCCCTCCGTAATCTGACCTGAGACAGGATGGTGTTATGGGACTTCCGGGAGGCAGGCTGTGCTGGCCCCCAGGGCCAGGCCAGATGGAAAGCACACCTGAGGGGTAGCCAGTAGCTCTAAGGTTGTGGGGTTCTGAGCTGCCCCAGAGTTCACAGGCTTCATGGAACCAGAGCAGAGAAAAAGGCCAAAACTCAAACCTGGAGCCCAAGGGGGTTTGGGAGCTTCTCCGAGTCTGGAGTGTGGATCTGGTAGGCTTGTTGGTCCCCAAGACAGCCACCTCCCAGCACAGTGACATCACCAAAAGCTAGCAAAAAGGCACTTTTCTGCTGGTCAATGTCTCCTGCCCCTGAGCGGGGCCCTGCCCAGCTCCATCCAGCCAGGGAAGGTACGGTGGGGGGCGTCTCGCCTTCTGTTCCTGTTGAGGCTCAACCCAGGGAGGCCCCCTTCCTGCTCGACAGTGACGGCCCAGCCTTGCAGTGGCGGAATGCTGGCAGAAGGAATGTGGGGATGTGGGCACCAAAGTCCAGGAAAAAGACCAAAGACACACACGTGACCTGCAGGTCCCGAGCCCCATTCCTCAGCCTCCTGCCACTGGACCTGCCACTGGGGGCTTCAGAGCAGCGGACACGGTCCATCTTGAGAGGGCACAGCCAGGCCTGATCGGCTGGTCCTGAGACGGCAGTGGGGCCCAGCGTCCAGAGCAAGGGCAGGCAGGCTGCGAGAGCGACGCTGCGGGAGCCCCAGCCAGCTCTGCACAGCCCAGGCGCTGCCCAGGCGCACAGGTCACTTCTCCACGCCCAAAGGAAGCCTTCCTCCCCAACTCAAGGGCGACAGCCCGGCTGTGCCTTAGGGAGGACAGCGCTGGGCCAGGTCCGGGGCCTCCCCACGCCCTCCCCCTGCCCGCACTGCCACCCTCAGCTCTGCTCCGGGCTCTCGGCGGGCTGCACCACAGTGTAGCTCCCTTGGCCCATGGACAGCTGCCGGCTGAAGAAGGACGTGGTGCGCTTCGGCTTCACCCGCTTGATCTGCTCACCTGTTGGGGAACAGGAGGAGCTCGCTGAGGGGAGGGCTGCCGGCGGAGGGCCCGCCCCCGGGAGCCCGGGCTCCGGCTGAGCTTTCCTCTTCACGCCCACCAGCTTTCTGCCCTCAGTGCCCCACCCTTCCACCAGTGACAGGATGGGTGGGTGGGGCGTGTCACCAGCCTCCCAGATCAGAGGTAAATCGGGGTTTGCATCGAATGGTGGGCCAGCTGTGGTGTCTGAGGAGCTTTGACTAAAACCTGTTCAAGAACAGACCAAAGAAACGTGACACCTACCACACTCATGACTGGCCGAAGGTGAGCCTCGGTAAAAGAATTCTTATAAGTTAAAAATTTCCAGCCAGGTGACCAAGGTGAACGTCGACAGGCGTAAGTCATGTTGATAATGCATCTTTGATACGGTGATAAAAATGGCGCTCTGCCTCTGTGACCTCCTCCCCAAACCCATAAGCCCAGTCTAATTACAAGAAAACTGTCACACAAATTCCGATAAGGGGTCACCCGACGACATCCCCGATCATTACTCCTCACAACTGTCAAGGTCATCAAAAACAAGGAAAGTCTGAGAAACTGTCACAGCCAAGAGGAGCCTCAAGAGACATGACAACTAAATATAGTATGATGTCCTGGACGGGATCTTGGAACTGAAGGATTTAGGTTAAAACTAAGGACTTTAGTTAATAATACTGCCTCAATATTGGTTCACTAATTATAACAAATATACTCTATTAAGATGTTAATTTTTAAAAATCAAGCAAAAAAAGAGGCAACACACATGAATAGTAATTCATGAAGAAAATATAAATGATCGCGCATAAAAAAATGGCCCAATTTCACTAGTAGTCAAACGCCAACCCACACGAGTTCTCTCTCTGGACAATAATGCCTATTGGTGGCCGAGGGTGCAGAAGGCAGGTGGCACCCTCTCTTCTGGGAGGGACATAAGTGGGCACGCCCTTAGACCCAGCAACCCCATTTCTACAAGTTCATCCTGGGGGACCGGTTCAGAATCAAGGGGAGACTCAGTACAGGTATGTTGTCTGCGGTAGCTGAAAACTGGAGGTAACGGTGCTGCCCAGCGGCGGGGACGACCACGCCAGCCCCGCCACGGAAGACGGCCAACGGTGACAGCTGTGCTACAGAAAAACTCTTTTGCTTTTTCCGATTATAAAAATGACACACGTGTAAAAAAAGTTAAATGCTCTAAAGAAGCACAAAGGAAACGTTACAGCGACTGATGACTTCATGGGGTCTCTCCGCCTCGCACCGCGGACGCTGCCTTGCACGTTGCTGTCCTATCACCTGATTTTATGAACCCTGCCATTTAATGTAGTTCTTTGTTAACGCGTTAAGAAAACCTCTTTATTTTGGAATAACTCTAGATTTATAGAGAAGCTGCAGAGATAATAACACCCTCATCTGGCTTCTTCCGATGTTAGCATCTCCTGCCGCTGTACTGCATTGGTCAAAACCAAGAAATGGACATTAAGACAGTATTATTAACTAAACTACAGACTGTGGGATTTCACCGGTTCTTCCACGGATGTCTTCTGTCTGCTGCAGGCCAGATCCAAGATACCACTGCATTTGTACCAGCTGCACTGACTCCACAGGATGTGGTGCCATCGTTTCTGTACCCACACCTGTCATAGCAGACACTGGGAGTTTCTAGTCTTTCACATCTGGACAATGCTGCGTGAACATATCTGTGGACGCAGCAGTGAGCAGGGACAGGATTCTTACCACCAGGGCCCCAGAGGCCTCCAGTTCCTGATCACAGAGCTCAGACGACGAGACGCTCACACCCAGTCAGGTCCCACCGGCTGGAGGCTAACTCGGCCCTCCCTACCTGCCAGGGCTCCCCACAGCATGCGTTATGTGCGCGTGTGTGCACGCGTGTGTGTACCGCAGAGGGGCCACTCACCCTCCTCCACGTAGTCGATGGTGGAGAGGTGCTGGATCCGGCTGCACACCACGCTGCCCTGCCTCCGCAGCTGGGGGCGCTGAGTGGGAGGTGGCGGGGAGCCGGGGATCGAGGGGGAGCCAGACGCGCTCTCTGTGGGGGCGGCGGGCTCCACGGCCTGGTTTAGCTCAATGCAGTACTCGATGAGGCTGCTCATCAGTTCAGCCTGGGGAGGAGAGAGGGGCCAGCGTGAGGCCTGTGCGGTGAGCCGCAGCCCAGGCCCCGTCTATACCGCTGCAGAGGTCCTTGCAGGGCGGGCAGAACCAGATGGGCGCCTCTTGCCTTCTCTCTGGCGGGGGAGGCAGATGAAGAAACCAATGCTACCTACACAGGAAAGGAAGTGGGGGGCTTGTGCTCCATGGGCTGGGGGCAAGGGTGGCAAACCATCTGCGGTGACTTTAGGGCTTGGTCCTGGTGGATGAGTAGGGTCCCAGGCCCGGGAGGGAGGGTGA